CTCATGGTCCCTGGCTTATCCATCCTGATGAACTGCACAGGGCAGACACTGTTCAGGACTTTAGGTGGTTTTTTTTTCCTGGTCCTGGGTCTTGAACTCAGGGCCTGGGCTCTCACCCTGCATGCTTCAGCTCAAGGCTGGTGCTCTACCCCTTGATCCGCAGCTCCACTTCCAGTTTTCTGGTGGTTCCTTGGAGATCAGAGTCTCACGGACTTTCCTGCCTGGGCTGGCCTCGACCCGCAATCCTCCGACCCCAGCCTCCGGGACGGCTGGGATGACAGGCGTGAGCCACGGCGCCCGGCTTGCTGGGGGGACTTTTTCATGGGGGTGTCCTGTTCTCCTTTTCAGAGCTTACCCTCCCCACATGGCGCAGAGCGACTTCCTGTTCCCGGACAACCCCAGGAGGCGACAGGAAGTGACCCGCCTGCACCAGCAGCTGCTGGGCTGCCTTCTGGACAGCTTCCAGGCCACCAATGAGCTGATCGGGGTCCTCAACACGCACCTGGGGTGCAGGCTGCCCCCCATCGAGATGCGGAGACAGGGGACCATCAAGGAGAATTGTGACGTTGTCATTGAAGCCGTGCGGGGCATCCAGACGGAGCTGCAGCAGGTAGACCAGGCCCTGAGGGACAAGCTGGAGCCCACGCTGTACCGGAAGCTGCGGGACGTGAAGGAGAAGGAGACGGACAAGGTGGCCATCGTGCAGAAGGTGATCTCGGCCATCCTGGGGGAGGTCACGGCGGCGGCCAGCGCCGTGGCCGTGAGGCTGGTGGGCTCCGGTGCCACGGAGGGGCTCCTGCACAAGCTGGCAGCCGCCCTGGGTCACATCGGCGCGTCCCTGCTGGGCAGCGTCGGGGTCGCCGTCCTGGGCCTGGGCCTCGAGCTGATCGTCCGCGCCATCCTGGGAGCGGTGGAGAAGAGCCAGCTGCAGGCAGCCATCAAGAGCTACGAGGCCCATCTGGTGGAGTTCAAATCCGCCTCTGACAGGTACCACCGGGCCATCGCAGAGGTCACCGAGCTGGTGAGACTCCAGACAAGATAAGAGAAGCTACTAGAAGGCCGCCTGGCTTCCTTGAAGGCCCTCGACTTAGCAGAAAGGTAAACCGCTTTGGAACGTCAGCTCCTCCACGTCCCTACGTCTGGAGTTTTGAATCCGCCCCGAAACCCTGAATCGACCCACAGAGGTGGAATATTATTTACCCAGGACTTTGGTACCCAGGTCCAAGGGGGAGCAGAGATGGGGGTGGGTGAGGTTGTTCCTTGACTTATTTTCCAGTGGAAATCCTTAGCATTCACATTAAAAATATATATATAGACACGTGTTCCTGGTTTTATCTTTAACCATTCACATCAGGTTCCTTTAGTACCAAGAGGAGATGTTCAGTAACTTCTGGATAGACCGGAACCTGGGGTTTTCTTTTTTCTTGTAAAGATACTATACAGAGGGTTACAGTTACATGAGTGAGGTAATGAGTACACTTCTTATTGAGCATTGTTACCCCCTCCATTGTTTTCCCCCTACCATCCTTTCCCTCCCTACCTTCCCCGAGGTTCTTTTTTTTTTTAATTGTGGTTAAGTGATTACATAATTTCCAGAATTTCACAGTATTGTGGAATAATGATGCTCATTTAAAGTCACAAGTTCATTCTAACTTTCCTGGAGCAAATTGTCTATCACAGTCTATAACATACAACAGTGTTCACATGTTATACACCATACATGTGATCAGCAGCATGAGGATATTTAGTAATGGTTCGACCAGATGAGCGGGAGTTCTTTGTTTCTTAAGTCCTGTTAGTTTTGTCCTATCACCTAACATTTTGGATTTAGCATCCACTTATCAGGGAGACCATGTACCGTTTGTCTCTTCGCTCTTGGCTTACCTCGCTCAACATGATTCCTTCTAGCTCCATCCATTTCCCTGCAAATGCCATTATTTTGTCATTTCTAATGGCTGCATAATATTCCATTGTGTATAGATACAATTTTTGGATCCATTCATCTGTGGTGGGGCATCTGGGTTGTTTCCATATCCTAGCTATTATGATGAACCTGGGGTTTTCAAACAGAAGTAGGGACGCTATTTCCAATAGAAACAGTCATGCTGTTATGATTGTCTCTACTATTACGATTCCTTCAACATATTGTTATTTTAGCTTAAATGGTGTTTTGTGGAAACTCCTGAGGTTGAAAATAAAAGGGCAATGAAGCCGGGCACTGGCAGCTCATGCCTGTAATCCTTGCTAGCAGCACAGGAGGCAGAGATCTGAGAGGATCGAGGTTGGAGGCCAGCTCGGGCAGGAAAGTCCCTGAGACGCTGATCTCCAATAAACTACTCAGAAAAGCCGGAAGTGGTGCTGTGGCTCAAGAGGTAGAGCGCCAGCCTTGAGCACAAAGAGGTTCGGGGACAGCGCCCAGGCTCTGAGTTCAAGTCCCAGGACCCGCAAAATTAAATGCACACACACATACATAAATACATAAATAAAAGGGGAGACCATAGCTTTGTGAAGTTGTCATTATATCATGTTATCTGGGTGGATTTTATATTAAAGATAAAGCAACGATGATCTTTATTTTTAAAAAACAGCTCTGTTGGTATTAAATGCAATGCATTTACTATGGAACATTAATATATAATATTTTATTTTTTTTGCCGGCTGTGGGTCTTGAACTCAGGGCCTGGGCGCTGTCCCTCAGCTCTTCAGCTCAAGGCTGGTGCTCTACCACTTAATCCACAGCACCACTTCCGGTTTTCTGAGTGGTTTATTGGAGATCAGAGTCTCTCAGACTTTCCTGCCTGGGGCTGGCTTTGAAGCACAATCCTCAGATCTCAACCTCCAGAGTAGCTGGATGACAGGCGGGAACCACTGGCGCTTGGAAGAACATTTTATTTTGTAAGTATAATTTTCTCGCTATTATTCAGGCGCTGTCCAGGGAGGGGACCATTTTGTAAGTCAAGTCTTGAGTCCGTTTCTGCCTAGTTCTATTGCTGTGGAACATTTAAAAAGCAAAAAGCACGCTCCAGCTACGCACACTCAGAAGGGGGGGGGGGGGAAATGTGGTCCTCTTTTAAGAACTTGTCTTTTAAAGAAAAGCCATGGTTGATTGGGGGGGGGGGGGGGAGGGAGGAGCTTTTTCTCAGGAAAAACCCAAGCTGGGCGGTGCGCTTCATGACTTCCATCTTAGGGGGAAAAAAAGCCATTTATTTACGCTTTACAAAAGCCCTTTGTGCTTCGACATTGCTCCTGTAGCTGCAGGCTTTTGCTTTCCAAAGCATTCTGCAACCACTAACTCCTCCGACATTCCTTCAGGAATCACAAGAGAGGAAAACTGCTTGTTTGGGGGGGCTTTTGTTGGGGGGGGGGTTCAATTCAGGACCTTGTGCTTTCTGAGGCCGGATCTCTACTACTTGAACCACGCCTCCAGTCTTGCTTTTGCTGGTTCTTCTGAAACAGGATGTTTTTTTTTAGTTTCCCATCTGGGGGCCCTGAGCAGTGGGCCTCGGATCTCACACATCTGATAAGCGTGACGGGCGTGTGTGACACCGGAGTCCCAGCGGCCCGACGAAAACTTGCAATCAGCTAGAGGAAAGCCTGCTTTTATTTTTCATCTGCAATCTCCATTTCCTTTTCCCTTCCGTCGTTGCTTTTGTAGATTCGTTGCGGAGTATCTGCTGTCGTCGCTCCCCTTCCAGACCTTATTTTCTTTTCCCTTACCTGGCTTCTCACCCCTGAGCTCTTAGATCTTGTTCCTGACACTGGAATCCAAACAGACCTCCAGGAATTTTCACTAAGATGTCCAGCGACCTGTAGTCTCTGAGCTCAGAAAGCGAGAAGATCAGGAGTTCCAGGCCAGCCTGGGCTGTCTGTAGGGAGACCCAGAATATGACATAAGGAAACAAAAACAAATCCACAAAACAAAGAGAGGTCAGCTGTAGGACTGATCTGATGAGGTCCAGGGCACGTTCAAAGATTCTGGGAGGGGCTGGGAAGGTGGCTCAGTGGTAGAGCACTTGCCTTGCATGCCTGAGGCCCTGGGTTCGATTCCTCAGCACCACATAAGCAAAAAGAAAAAAGCCGGAAGTGGCGCTGTGGCTCAAATAGTAGTGTGCTAGCCTTGAGCTGAAGAGCTGAGGGACAGTGTCCAGGCCCAGAATTCAGGCCCCACAACCGGACCCCCCCCCCCCAAAAAAAAAAAAAAGATTCTGGGAAAAACCAACATGTCTCTCCAAACATCAGACAGGATGGAGTCAGCCATGGCTCATTTTTCTACAAGGGAATACTCAGATGAACCTCAGAAATGACTCCGCCCCCTTCAGGTCAGATAATAATAATAACAATCCCAACAACAACAGTGAAGGAGGGGGGGAGGAGGGGGAGGGGGAGGGAGAGGGGGAGGAGGGGGAGGTGGGGGGAGGGAGAGGGGGAAGAAAACTTCACAGACCCACGCCTGTCCTCCCAGCTACTCGGGAGGCTGAGAGCTGAGGATCACAGTTCAAGGCCAGCCAGGGCTGGAAAGCCCCTGAGACTCTGATCTCCAATGAATCAGCAGGAAGCTGGCAGTGGAGCTGTGGCTCAAGAGGTAGGAGCGCCTGCACTGGGTGAAAAAGCTCAGGGACAGTATCCAGGGCCGGCACAAAAGGAACAGAGGAGACAACAATCGTAAAGAAATACGAAGGAGCCCTCGGGGCCTGGCGACCAGGGCGCCCGGAGCGCTGGACCTTCCAAACCCAGGCTGCAACGTCTCTGGTCCCAGAGGCAAGCCCATCAGCCAATCAGGGCTCGGCTTCTTCCTTTTCCCCCGGACTGGGCGGCAGTGTGCGTCAGTCAACGCAGAGGAAGGCGGGCCCGCGGCTGGCAACCGACCAATCGGAGGCGGACGGGAGCGGAAGCTCCTCTGGCCCCCGGCCCCCGCGGGTGCCTCTCGCTGGTCCCGGCGCCTAGCAACGCCGCGAGGACGTCCGTCCGCGGGGCCGGAAGTGACGTGCGGCCGGCGGAGGGGCGCGAGGTTTCAAGATGGCGGTGTCCGGGCGGCTGTCCGGGCGGCGGAGGTGAAGGCGTCCCGGGCGCGGCGGGCGGCGGCGGCGGCGCGGGTGCGTGTGCGGGCGTGTGCGGGTGCGTGTGCGGCCCGGCCCGCCGGGGGCGCCCGCAGCCCCGGAGCCCGGCCCCGCCGGGGGCGCCCGCAGCCCCGGAGCCCGGCCCCGCCGGGGGCGCCCGCAGCCCCGGAGCCCGGCCCCGCCGGGGGCGCCCGGGGGCTCGGGCCGGCGCCAACCGTCGCCGCGGCCCCGGCGGTTGCGGGCCTGCGCCGTCGCGGGCCGCCACCCCCCCTCCCCGGGGTGGGTGTGGGGGGGGGTGTGGGGGGAGGGGGGAGCCTGGCCCGCCGAAACTTCTAGAAGTGTAGGCCCGGGTCCACGGAAACGTCTAGAAGTTGAGGGTTCCCCCAAACACTCACACACACACACACACACACACCCTGGATCCATGGAGGCTTCTAGACGTTTGCCCCCCCCCCCCTCCTCCCCAGGCCCAGGGCAACGTCGAGGAATTTAGGGCTCTCCCCCCACCCCCCCCCCCCCCACCCCAGGTGCGTGGAAACCTCTAGACGTTTAGGGTCGACACCCCAGGTCCGTGGAAACTTCTGGATATTTAGGACCCTCCCGCTCCCCGGGCCCGCAGAAACTTAATAGAAAATGTAGGGCTTGGTTCCCCCCCTTCCCCCCATGGGGACTTCTAGATGCTTAGATGTTCTAGATGCTTAGATGTTCAGGGCCCCCCCCCCCCCCCCACCATACCAGCTTATAGCTATGTATATGTTTATACATATACGTTAGGTATTTATATCTATCTAGGCCTCTTCCCCCTCTCGTGGAAACTTACAGAAGGTCTCTGAAGGATTGGAAGCGGCCGCCCACATGGCCAAGAAAGGCCCTGGGAGGTGGCCAGGGAAGGCGGTTTTTTTTTTTTTGTCCTTGATCCCAGAGCCCCGTCTCCCGAGCCCCCTTTTGATTCCTCTTTCACCGACACTTAGAAAAAGGCCCCCATGGCCTCTTGTCGTCATGGTTGGTGTCACAGAGTAATTTCTAGTTGATTGGTGAGGGGGGAGGTGACACCGGGGGTTTGACAGCTTCCTCTCCCCCCCCCCCCCCCCCCCCACACACACACATGCTTGGCTGGTAATCCATCCGCCTGATTCTTTTTTTTTTTTTTTCCCCTGTTAAGAGTCATTTGCTGTGAGTCATAAGGAGCCGGGTAGGTTGGTCAGCCACTGAGGCAGTGATGTTCACTATTACCTATCTAGAGGATAATGGAAATCTCGCTGTGGTCCAGAAAGTTGGGGCTGTTTGTTCTTGCACAGGTGCTAAAGTCAACATTAAGAGCAAAGTCTCACGAATGAATTCACACCCAAAGACATGTTTCTTTCCAGAGATTGACAGGAGCCTTTATTATAAAGAGGAAGACATGTTGGAAATATGCAGGAAAAAGTAAGCTACTTATTTTTCTTCCACAGGTTTTTCTCGGTTTTTGTTTTTTGTTTTTTAAGTTGTAAGTGAACCACCCAGATTGTCACCATGGGACGAAGATCGACCTCCTCCACCAAGAGTGGGAAGTTCATGAACCCCACAGACCAAGCCCGTGAGTAGCCAGGGCTGCAGATGGCCCTTATACGCCTCTTCCTGGCCACTTCAGTGGTTCGAGCAGTAGGGCCTGCAGAGTTAGAGTACTGGGCACAAGATGACCGCTTGACACACATAAAGTCCTGCCTGTATTTCCTATATTACCACGTCCAATTGGCAAGCAGAGTAGAATTGGTTTAAGGGATATTTGTGTGTGTGTGTGTGTGTTTGTGTTCAAAATGTTGAGCAGATTGATTTTTGCAGGCTCTTAGTATTTATGGTGTCTTTTCCATGAAGATCCGCAGCTTGTTTTCTGGAAAACAGGAAACAGGAATGCCTTGACACTTGGGTTGAAATGTCTAGAGGGTGCTGCCAGACAGCTGGCCTGCGGTGCCTCGGGGCACCTCCACAGTAACTAAGCCTGTTACGGGGAAACTGCTCAGGCTGAAGGCTTGAACCTCTCATTGCTTCTCCCTCTTCCCTTTCAGGAAAGGAAGCCCGGAAGAGAGAATTAAAGAAGGTGAGGCTTCAGAGCCCTGCAGGGCCCTTGGGTTTATCTTCCCCATTTTGGATCCATAGTTTTCCAAATAACATAGCTGATTGTTTGCCAAAAATCTTGTACCTCTTAAAACTCTTAGCCATGCCAAAAATTGTTGCACTTACACAATGAACTGTTGCATAGTTCATCATGTGTATGATGGTATTTTTGTCTCTTTTTAGATGGTTTTATTTCTCTTTTCTTGCTCTTTACTAAACACCACTGCCTTGTTAGAAGTCACTGTTGGGTGACTATAAATATGTTAAATATTTTCTTTATCTGTTTTTCTGACTAGACATTGAGTTTGTAAAAAAAAAAAGCAATTCAGCTATATCAGAAAGAGCCTTTCATATATTATGTATATCATGCTTTAACACGCAAGGGAATGTAGCTATTTGGCAATTTTGCACTGCTTGTTTTATTGCTTAGCTTGTTTTATTGCTTAGCACCAAATTGTACAAAATCTTTTGCTGTTCCCATGTAAATTTTTAAATTTAGCTGTGACTTTTTATGTTTTTGTGTTTACTAACTGGGGAAGGTGTTGACATATTTGCCAAAGCATGGCGCTTTTTACTAAAGTCTTAAAAGACTTTTGAGAACAACAACAAAACAATTTAGCTCTTGTTTCTGTTGCTCGAAAGAAATCATCATAAACCAAGGGAAGATTCAGATTTCTGAATGAATGAATCTGAGCATCCATTTTATTCCCCCTTGCGTCTTTCTAGAATAAGAAGCAGCGCATGATGGTGCGGGCCGCGGTCCTGAAGATGAAGGACCCCAAGCAGATCATCCGGGACATGGAGAAGCTAGACGAGATGGGTAAGAGCTTGGCTCAGGCGGAGGAAGGGTCCCCCAGCAGGTGAGGTAACCCCAGTAGGAGAGCCAGAAAGAATATGGAAAACACGATTCCACCTCAGCTAGCACAGTCCTGTCCTGACACCTACCTGTCAATCACGCCTTCACTCCATCAAACTAAAGAAAGATCACTGCCTAGGCGGTCTACCTAAGAGAAGACACTGCCGGCAAGCCACAGCCTGTGTAAAGTATTGAGTATCACATGATTACCGGCTCCTGTGCAGAGGTAGAAGGCACAAGGGGCCTAGGACGTGTGTGGTACTCGCACACTTGGTGCTAAGTGCCTTACATACAGCTTCACGCCACTGGGAAGTCAGAGGGTGTCAGAATGGAACCGTTATCTAAATGGTTGGAAAATCAACTGTCCGCCACCAGAAATTTTTTTTGGGGGGGTCGGTCGTGGGGCTTGAACTCTGGGCCTGGGCGCTGTCCCTCAGCCCTTCAGCTCAAGGCGAGCAATCTACCACTTGAGCCACAGCGCCATTTCTGGTTTTCTAGTGGTTTATTGGAGATAAGAGTCTCACGGCCGGGCATCACGCCTGTAATCCTAGTTACTCAGAAGGCTGAGATCTGAGGATCGCGGTTCAAAGCCAGCCCAGGCAGGAAAGTCCGTGAGACTCTGATCTCCAATAAAAGCCACTAGAAAACCTGAAGTGGCGCTGTGCCTCAAGCGATAGAGCGCTCGCCTTGAGCTGAAGAGTGCAGGGACAGCGCCCACGCCCAGAATTCAAGCCCCACCTGTTGGGCGACAGGTGCTCAGTGAGTGCATGGAGCGGCCCAAGAACACAGGGTGGGGGTGAGACACCAGGGCTCGGGCGGCAGAGGCGTGGCACCTAACACGGCTGCGCCTGGTGGAACCTCACCGGCTCTCAGCACCGTGACTGAAACGGCTTCGGGTTCCCTGCTGAGAAGTAGAAGCGCAGCGAATGTCTGTTCTAAAGGGGCGAAGTCTTAGGTTGCACGTGGCTCAGTGGTACACCGCGTCCATGTAGGAACAGGGCCCTTGGGTCAATCCCACGCATCACAAATCGGTACCTTTTAAAGGGTAGATCTAATAAATGTCTCTTCTGGTGTCTTTGAAGGAAATGGAAAAGGGCATCGGGTCTAGGTCTACTTTTTTGTGTGTGTGTCAGTTGTGGAGCTTGAATTCGGGGCCTGGGCGCTGTCCCTCAGCTCTTCAGCTCAAGGCTAGCACTCTACCACTTGAGCCACAGCACCACTTCCAGCTTTTTCTGTATATGTGGTACTGAGGAATCGAACCTAGGGCTTCATGCAGTCTAGGTGAGCACTCTACCACTGAGCCACCTTCTCAGCCCCTTTTTTTGGGGGAGGGGGGTCCTGTCGTGGGGCCTGAACTCTGGGCCTGGGCGCTGTCCCTCAGCTCTTCAGCTCAAGGCTAGTGCTCTACCACTTGAGCCACAGCACAACTTCTGGCTTTTTTCTTTTTACTTATGTGGTGCTGAGGAATCGAACCCAGAGCCTCATGCATGCAAAGCAAGCTCTCTACCACTGAGCCATTTCCCAGCCCCTTAGATCTACTTTTTGTTACCAGTTTTCAGTAGCATTGTTGCCACACACGAGGACTGAAACTGAAGTGGCCTTCCTCTCAAATTACATAACGGTGGAACCCTGCTTTTTCTCTCAGAGTTCAATCCAGTGCAGCAGCCACAGCTGAATGAGAAAGTGCTGAAGGACAAGCGCAAAAAGCTCCGCGAGACCTTTGAGCGCATCCTGCGGCTGTACGAGAAAGAGAACCCCGATATTTACAAGGAGCTGAGGAAGCTGGAGGTGGAGTACGAGCAGAAGAGGGCCCAGCTCAGCCAGTACTTCGATGCCGTCAAGGTAGTTGCCCTTCCTCTCGAGAATGAGCCGTGCTCAGCTATGCCCTTAAAAACTGGAAGATGGATGGATGTGGGGCTTTTTGTTTTGAAATTTTCTGTCGGTTATGGGGCCTGAACTCTGGGCCTGGGCACCGTCCCTCAGCTCTTCAGTTCAAGGCTAGAACGCAACCACAGCGCCACTTCTGGCTTTTTCTGCTTATGTAGTGCTGAGGAATGGAACCCTGGGCCTCATGCGTGTGAGGCAAGCACTCCCCACTGAGCCCCAAAATGGATGGCTTTAAACATCTTCAAAATATCTTCAGGTAGAACATATGCTCAACCTCTGCACTGGCAAATGAGTCCCCGGTTTCATTTCCCACCAGCACAGTAACGGCCGAAAACTAGCCATGGTGCAGGTTCCCATTAACAGGATAATAAATGAGGAAACATACATTTACATAGTAAAAAGCCACTCAAATGGAGAAGGGCTGATCTGTTGACAACCATTTAAAGAAGAACGTGGATCTCTAGAATATGTTACGCTCCTTCCTGGTTCCCTTAACAGACAAACTACTCCATGGTGAAAAAATAATTATGTTGGATCGTGTTCAGGATTGAGTGGGAAGGAGCACGTGGGTGCAGCACTGAGCACTCATTGGCCCTGTGTTTTATTGTAAGGAGGGACCCAGTGAGGTGATTGATTGATTCATTTACTTTTTTGTGAGGTAGATAGGTGGTTTGAGTCCCGTTTTGCAGGGAATTCAGGGTAACTTAAAGAGCAGAGCACGCCACTGTCTGAAATTTCACTAAGGGTAGCTTTTAAAGGGTCTGGTTTCTCTATAAACGGCAATTTCGAGACATGCCCAGGAAGAGTCGGCTGATCATAAGAGGAGTAAGAAAGCAGTGGCCACTCTGGGAAGGAGACTTAGTGTAGAGCGCTTGCCTTGCATGCATGAGGCCCTGGGGTCGATTCCTTAGCACCACATACACAGAAAAAGCCAGAAGCGGTGCTGTGGCTCAAGTGGTAGAGCACTGGCCTTGAACAAAACCAGCTCAGGGACAGCGCCCAGGCCCTGAGTTCAAGCCCCAGGACTGGCCAAAAAAACCAAAAACAGCTGGTTGCATATCAGGCTTGCGGGCGCCATTTGCCCACTAGCTCTGTGTGTGCGCGCGTGTGTTACACACGTGTGTGTTTCAGAACGCACAGCACGTGGAGGTGGAGAGCATCCCTCTGCCCGACATGCCACACGCGCCCTCCAACATCCTCATCCAAGACATCCCACTGCCCGGCGCCCAGCCGCCCTCCATCCTCAAGAAGACTTCCGCCTACGGGTAAGGGGGTTCTGGGGGTGCTGGCTGGTGGGCGTGATGCGTGATCTGAGGCGTGGGACTCAGCCGCGGCGCGTGTTCCTGCAGACCTCCCTCTCGCAATGTCTCCATCCTCCCACTGCTCGGCCATGGTGTCCCCCGACTGCCGCCTGGCCGGAAGCCACCCGGCCCCCCGCCCGGGCCACCACCGCCCCAAGTCCTGCAGATGTATGGCCGGAAAGTGGGCTTCGCCCTGGACCTCCCCGCTCGCCGGCGCGAGGAGGACATGTTGTATAGCCCGGAGCTTGGTAAGGACTGGCCGTTCCTCTCGCGTGCACTGTCGCCCGTGCCTGGCCCTCAGCACGGGCCCGATGCGCCCGCCCCGCGCCCTGACCGCCAGCCCCTCCCTGCGCAGCAGCGGACGGGACGGGGCGCTGGGGGTGGGGGGTGTCTGGAGGGTTCCCTCTCCCAGTCCCTTGAGCCGCAGCTCTGTCCCTCCCACATCCTCATGTCGCACGGTCACGCGTGGAGCCGTGTGCGCAGAACCATTGCTGAGTGGAGCCTCTGGTGTCTTGTGGGGTGGGGCTTTTGGTTTTTTACTGTTCAGTGGTAGGGTTAGAACTCCGGGCCCTGGGCCCTGACCCTGTCCCCGACCCCGGCCCTGGCCCTGACCTTCTGGAAAGAAATTGCCAGAGGCTGGCCGCTTTGCAGAGAAATCCCTTGCTCCGTCTTCTGATAGCCCAAGGCCAGCATGGAGGCCTAGCTCAGGCGCTAGAACACCAGCTGAGCAGCTCCGCGTTCAGCTCCTGCCGCGGGCCCTCTGCTCGCTTACGGTTCTCAGGCTGAGTCGCAGTGGCTGGCGTCGGGCAGTGGCGGTCTGGCCTGCCCGCCTGCGCCATGGCGGGTCCGTGATTGCCCATTGTCCCCGCCAGCTCAGCGCAGCCACGACGACGACGCGTCCAGCACCAGCGAGGACGACGGCTACCCCGAGGACATGGAGCAGGACAAGCCGGGGGACAGCACGGATGACAGCGACACGGACAGGTCCGACGGCGAGAGCGAGGGCGACGACTTCGTGCGCCGGGACGGCGGCGAGCGGGACCACGCCGAAGAGAAGAAGTCGGGTGTGTGCCGGAGCCCCACGCCGCGGGGTCGGGTCCGCGTGCGCAGCCGCAGCTCCCAGCGGGGCGGGCGAGGAGGGGCACCAGGCATCCGTGGGGGCCTGTGAGGGGAGAGGGGAAGGAGGTCTGTGGGGGAGCGTCCGTAGCGTCAGGACCCTGCCGTCTGTCTTACGTGTCACCTTGAACGTGCGGGGCCCCTGAGCTCCCAGAGCCGTGGGGAGCCGTGTCTGTGAACAGAGCACTGTCACCCGCGCCAGAGGCTCCGTTGGGGGGCCTGACTGGTCCACGCATGTGCGCTGCCGTAGCGTGGCCCCCCCCCCACATACCCCCACCCCAGCCCCCGAAGGTGAGCGCGCTGCTCCTCTGTTGGCTTTTTTTTACAAGCCTGCAGCACAGCCACTGTGTGTCGTGGGGATTCATGGAAGACTCTCCTCCTGCAGCAGATCCCATCCAGCCGAGGGATAGGCTGCTGTTTCTTGCTGTTGCTTTATGCATGCGAGGCAGCTTTCTAGGAGCACGAGTGGAGTCTGCGTGTTACCCGTGTGTGTGTGTGTGTGTGCGCGCGCGCACGTGTGTGCGGCGAGTTGCGCTGATACCGCACCCTCGTGCGCCTCTCAGCTCCACGTAACTTTCTCCCGGCTTGTGAAGGGTTAAGGAGGGACCCAAGGGTTTTCAAAACATTTCGTTTGGAAAACAAAATTTCAAAATGAAACATTTCGTTTTTGAATTCCCTGGTTACTTCTTTTTCCTGATGCTAACTCCCCCCACCCCACCCCCACTTTTTTTTTTTTTTGACCAGTCCAGGGGCTTGAACTCAGGGCCTGGGCACTGTCCCTGAGCTTCTTTGGCTCAAGGCTGGTGCTCTACCACTTGAGCCACAGTGCTACTTCCAGCTCTTGTGTGTATGTGAGGAATCGAACCCGGGGCCTGACGTATGGTAGGCAAGCACCTGCCCAGCCCCCAGTTTGCTTCTACTTTTTATGTTGGCTGGTAGATTACTTTTGATCACCAAAGTGACATTGCTTTTTACAAGTTGAACAGGATTCTGTTTTTCAAGGATCCTTCACAAAAATTGTGGCTGAATTCCCTCACATAACTCACGCTTGAGTTTCTGGTTTTCTGGTCGTTTTCATCTTGGTGCAGGATTTTATGGGCCTGAAAATGACCATCTTTTTGTTGGTCGGTTGTGGGTCTTGAACTCTGGGCCTGGGCGCTGTCCCTCAGCTCTTCAGCTCAAGGCTGGCGCTCTACCACTTGAGCCACAGCACCACTTCTGGTTTTCTAGTGGTTTATTGGAGATCAGAGTCTCACAGACTTTCCTACCCAGGGCTGGCTTTGGACCGTGATCCTCAGATCTCAGCCTCCCGAGTAGCCGGGATGACAGGCGGGAGCCACGGCACGGGCTGATGACGGGCTTTGGCTTAAATTTTAAGCTGTGTGGCCGGGGCTGGTGTGGCAGTTCACCCTCGGGCTGGCCCGCCCTCCCCTCCCCGTGCGCTTCGCCCCACCAGCTCCGTTACCCCGTGGGCCCCGCCTTCCAGCCGCGCTCTTTACAAACCACTTGCCCGTGCTGTCGGCCCCTCTTTGCCCCCCAGGTCTGAGCGTTCGATTCGCCGACATGCCCGGCAAGCCCAGGAAGAAGAAGAAGCACATGAAGGAGCTGACTCCGCTTCAAGCCACGATGCTGCGCATGGCGGGTGAGGCAGGCCGCACCACGCGTGTCCCCGCACCCCGAGGGGAGGGTCCGCGCGCAGTAGCCGGTCCCCAGATCCGGTCGGGTCCCCCCATGGGAGCGTGACGTGATGTCGCGTGCCGCCTTCCCCCAGGCCAGGAGATCCCCGAGGAGGGCCGCGAGGCGGAGGAGTTCTCCGAGGAGGACGACGAGGAAGACTCCGACGACTCGGACGCCGAGAAGCCGCCGCAGAAGCAGCATAAGGATGACGCGCACGCCGACGCCGCGGCCGCGGGCCCCCCCCCAGCAGGGCCCCCCCCAGGCCGGCCCCCCCTCCCAGCTGCAGGCGCCCCCCATGCCGGGGCCGCCGCCCCTGGGACCCCCGCCCGCCCCGCCGCTGCGGCCCCCCGGGCCCCCCACGGGCCTCCCTCCGGGCCCCCCTCCAGGTGAGCACCCCGCCCACTCGCGCAGTTGGCCTTCCGGGAGTTGGGGTGAGGCGCGCAGGACCGGGGGGCGCTGAGGCCGCCCGACCTCCCCCGCGCACCATGCCACCCCAGCCATAGAGACGCCGCCACGCCTCACCCCGTCCCCTTCCTCAGGAACTGTCGCACGGTCCTGTCGCCTTCGTGCATGTTTTCCAATCCCTTCGTTGGTGGTTTGTCAGTCTTGGGGCTTGAACTCAGGGCCTGGGCGCTGTCCCTCAGCTCTTCAGCTCGAGGCTCTACCACTTGAGCCACAGCGCCACTTGCAGTTTTTTGTGGTTCATTGGAGATTCAGAGTCTCACGGGCTTTCCTGCCGGGGCTGGCTTTGAACCACGGTCCTCGGCTCTCAGCCTCCTGCGTGGCTGGGATGACAGGCGGGGCCACTGGTGCTCACCCGGCTGTTTGTGCTCATTTGATGGAGACAAAGCTCGCGCATGCCTCAGGGGCGGGGAAACAGCGCGGGCTGAGGCTCTTCATTTGTTTGAAGGATGCTCTGAGCGCCCCATGGCTTCCTGGCCCTGAGGAGCCGGGCTCTGCGTCGGGACCTGCACACTCCGGCTCGGGGCTGCACACTCCGGCTCGGGGTGCACACTCCGGCTCGGGCTGCACACTCCGGCTCGGGGCTGCACACTCCGGCTCGGGGCTGCACACTCCGGCTCCGGCTGGTTGGGGGAAGTGCGTGCGGTTCAGCGGGGCTGGGAAGTCCGCTGGCTGCGGGGGTCTGGTTGGGTTCACTCGCTGTCCTTGTCTTCCAGGGGCTCCGCCATTCCTGCGGCCGCCGGGGATGCCGGGCCTCCGGGGGCCTCTCCCGCGCCTCCTGCCCCCCGGCCCGCCGCCCGGCCGCCCTCCGGGCCCTCCGCCGGGCCCCCCGCCCGGCCTGCCGCCCGGACCCCCGCCGAGAGGACCCCCGCCCAGGCTGCCGCCCCCTGCGCCCCCAGGTGAGGCTCCGCCCCGCGACCCCCGCGCGTGCGTGCCCAAGGCCACGGTCAGGGTCAGGATCCCGGGTGGCGGCCCCGCGCGTGCGTGCCCAAGGCCACGGTCAGGGTCAGGATCCCGGGTGGAGGGGCCTGCGCGTGCGTGCCCAAGGCCACGGTCAGGGTCAGGATCCCGGGTGGAGGGGCCTGCGCGTGCGTGCCCAAGGCCACGGTCAGGATCCCGTGTGGTGGCCCCGCGCGTGCGTGCCCAAGGCCACGGTCAGGGTCAGGATCCTGGGTGGAGGGGCCTGCGCGTGCGTGCCCAAGGCCACGGTCAGGATCCCGGGTGGCGGCCCCGCGCGTGCGTGCCCACGGTCAGTTTGCGCCCGAGGCTGCGCACGCGCCCGGCCTCCCCGCGGGGCCGCGTCGCGCTCCGCGGCCGTCGCTGCGGAGTTGGGCTGCGGTTGGCTTTTGTGTGTCTGTGCGTGGGTGACGGGCCTCGCTCAGCAGCGCCCCGGCCGCGGCCGCGCCGCTCACCCGCCTCCGCCCCGCCCCGCCCCGCAGGCCTCCCCCCGCCGCGGCCCGGCATGATGCGGCCGCCCCTGGTGCCCCCGCTGGGGCCCGCGCCGCCCGGCCTCTTCCCGCCCGCGCCCCTGCCCAACCCCGGGGTGCTGAGCGCCCCGCCCAACCTGATCCAGCGCCCCAAGGCGGACGAGGCCAGCGCGGCCACCATCGAGAAGAAGGCCACGGCCACCATCAGCGCCAAGCCGCAGATCACCAACCCCAAGGCGGAGATCACGCGCTTCGTGCCCACCGCGCTGCGCGTGCGGCGCGAGAACAAGGGCGCGGCGGCGGCGCCCGCGCGCAAGGCGGAGGAGGACGCGGCCGCGCCGCTGGCCAAGGCGGCGCCCAAGGCCGGGCCCGCGGCGCCCGTGTCGGTGCAGACCAAGGACGACGTGTACGAGGCCTTCATGAAGGAGATGGAGGGGCTGCTCTGAGCCCGCGGCCCCGCCGGCCTTTCTCCTCCCGACTTCGGTGTTTGAGTTGTTTTCATATTTTCTGTAAATACTTTGTAATATTTGGCTCGTAGCGCGGCGGGCGCGTGGCTGTGTACAATTCCTCCATTAAAGTAGTTCCCGCTGGCCTCCGCCTGGCCGTCCGTCTGGGTCGCGCGGGGCGGGGGCAGCGCGCATGCGCCGTGCCCCGGAGCAGCCTCGGGACGCAGCCAGCGCGAGGGGTGGGGCCGGCGTGGAGCGCAGGACCCTGAGGACCTGATCCCAGCCAGCTGCGCCGCGCCTCCTCGGGACGCGTCTGTCCAGTGTGTTGTGACGTGTGGACAACACGACAAGGAGCATGCTCAGAATCATGACGAACGCAGTCCTGAGCGACCAGCGTGTCCTGATGAACCCCCAGTGTCCTGATGAACCCCAGTGTCCTGATGAACCCCAGCGTCATGATGAACCCGTGTCACAGGCGTGCCCAGTGTCCTGATGAACCCCCAGGGTCCTGATGAACCCCCAGCGTCACGGACGTGTCCCAGGGTCCTGATGAATCCCCAGGGTCCTGATGAACCCCAGTGTCCTGATGAACCCCCAGTGTCACGGGCGTGTCCCAGTGTCCTGATGAACCCCAGTGTCCTGATGAACCCCAGTGTCACGGGCGTGTCCCAGTGTCCTGATGAACCCCCAGGGTCCTGATGAACCCGTGTCCTGATGAACCCCCAGTGTCATGATGAACCCCAGTGTCCTGATGAACCCCCAGGGTTCTGATGAACCCCAGGGTCACGGGCGTGTCCAGCGTGTGGTGGTGAACGTGTGGTGTGTGATGTGTGTCATGACCTGCATGTGGCGTGTCATGGGTCGCGGCAGTGGCCCGCGCCCTGCGGGGTAGACGCTGTGCTGGGAGCAGCCCGTGCTTGTGCGTGCGCACGCACACACACGCACGCACGCACACACACGCACAGTTCCTCCTGGCAGGCATGAAACAGTTTGATGCGATGGAAAGGTACAAGAGAGCGAGGCGCGGTGGTTGCCTTACACACACACACGCGCGCGCGCGCGCGCGCACATGGAGCGGGAGGCGGTGTGGGGAGCACGGGGACCCCCCAGGCCCGCCCTCTCCCCCGGAGCTGGCCGGGCCCTGGGCGCCTCGACTGCGGCCCGACCGTGGAGCAGTGTCCTACACCGGCGCATGCGCACACACGCGGGGTCACGTGGACCGGGGCGTCCGAAGAGCTCTGTGTGGTGATGAGGAACCAGGCCATGTGTCCTGCCTCCCCTGGCCATCCTGGCCTCCCGCCCTGGCCACACCTCCCAAAGCGCTCTGCTCCTAGCCACACCTCCCCGCCACGCCACGCCCCTGGACACGCCTCCTAGAGCGTTCTGCCCTAGCCACACCTCCCTGCCATGCCACGCCCCTGGCCACGCCTCCTAGAGTGCTCTGCTCCTAGCCACACCTCCCAGACATGCCACGCCCCTGGCCACGCCTCCTAGAGCGCTCTGTTCCTAGCCACACCTCCCAGACATGCCACGCCCCTGGCCACGCCTCCTAGAGTGCTCTGCTCCTAGCCACACCTCCCAGACATGCCACGCCCCTGGCCACGCCTCCTAGAGCGTTCTGCCCTAGCCACACCTCCCTGCCACGCCACGCCCCTGGCCACGCCTCCTAGAGCGCTCTGTTCCTAGCCACACCTCCCAGACATGCCACGCCCCTGGCCACGCCTCCTAGAGCGCTCTGTTCCTAGCCACACCTTCCCGCCATGCCACACCCTACACCACGCCTCCTCGAGTGCTCCTCGTGGCCACGCCTCCCAGCCGTGCCACGCCCCTGGCCACGCCCCCTCGAGCGCCCCTCGTGGCCACGCCCCCCCCGCGGCGCCCCCAGCCCGCCGCCCAGCTGCCTGGCGCAGTCCACACCGCGTGCTCGGGCCTCTCGTACCGCGTCCCGCGCGAGGCTGGGGACCGAACCTCTCCGCAGCGGAGGTGTCCGCCGGCCCTGCGGGGAGCCCGCGCCCGCCCCAGCGGAGGCAGGCAGGGAGGGAGGTGTGCAAACAAGCGCTGTGGGTGCGCGGACCCCAGGCGGAACTAAAGGCGGGGTGGTGCAGGGTGGCCCTAAAATCCCCGGGGCCGAGGCGGAGCCTGGGCGTCGGGTTGGGAGGACGCAGGAGCCCACGCGTGGCGCCTTCGCGGTCGGGGGAGGCCCAGGGCTCCGCGGCCCCAAACCCCGCAGAACTTAAGTTCCTTCGCTTCACTGCTCCCCCAAGTGGGCGAACCCCAACTTCCGGCAGATGGGCGCGGCACGCCGGGGACCCACGCGGGCGGGGCGCAGCGCCCAGCGGCCCGCAGCGCCTCCTTCCGCACAAACCGCCGCGCCTTCCCATTGGGCGCCGCACGTCCAAACCGCGCGACAGGCAGGACCCGCCCCCAATGAGCTCGCTGGATTATGGCCCGCCTTCCAGAATGATATCCAATCAAGAGTGGGTATCCCGACTCCTCATTTGCATAACGCCCTCTATAAATAACCGGCCTGCTGGTCACAGGGAAGGTGCAAGTTTCCATGTTGGGCAGTGATTCTGAAGATCTGAGGACGTGGGATCGAAGCTAGCCGGGGGCAGAAAAAGTCTGTGGGCTTCTCGTCAACAACTAGCCGACAGAGAGCCAGTAGTGGAGCTGTGGCTCGAGTGGTAGAGCACCAATCAGCCTTGAAAAGTTCCCAGGCCTCTCCGATGAACCCAGGGACTTCATGGGAGGAAGCAATGGGTATTTGCACCCCCTTCCCGGGCCCGGAAATAAGATGCTTTTTTAGATCAGAAATTATTGCCTCCTAATTTTCCTTTGCTTCCTCATTTCTCACCATCACAGGACTCTACAGCTAAGTGACAGGAGCTCAGACACTAAGTTGTTATTTACGTATTTTTGTAATGGTGGTACTGGGGCTTGAACTCAATACCCCACATTCTTACTTGGCTTTCCTACTCAAGGCTGGTGCTCTACCCTAGAGCCACAGTTCTACTTTGGCCTTTTGGCCGCTTCATTCTCCAGAATTTCCCCTGCCATCCTCCAACCTCAGCCTCCTGCACAGCTAGGATTACAGGGCTGAGCCCCACCAGTACCCGGCTTGGTGGGTGGGAGAGGAAAAAAAAAATGCTTTGGGCAAAGATTAAAATCGGCCTAAATTAAACAAATTTCAAAATGGGATTTTTTTTTTTTTACTGTCAAGAGTTCCTGTAGGGAAGGACTATCTTCCAGACTAAGGATCAAAAAGGAATTGCTAGAGAGAGTTCCCCAAGACGTCAATGATGAAGCCAGTCAGGTTAAAAACAAACCAGCACAGACTCTGAACTAGCTTTCAACTCCAGTGATGAGAAAGAGCGCCATAAAAACCTCCCCGATGCATAAACTCAGTTACCAAATTATGGCAAAAACAAAAACAATTCACTGTGTAGACCACACAATGAAGAAAAGCAAGGGGTGGGGTGGGCCTTTGGGGAAGTGGAAATGTGGAGGGGTTACTACACACCAAGATGCAATGCCATGCGTACATAAACAGCTGTGTAAAATGGCTAAATAAAAAAAAAATCAATGTAGAGCCTAGGAAATTAAAAGTGAGGGAAGGCTGGGTGGCGGAAAGGGGTGACATTAATCAAGACGCATTGTACCCATACACTGCAACTACTTCAAGACACCTATATAAAGTACAAATAGAGACCAGAAAAACATGTGTTCAAAAGAAAAAATAAAATTATTTTATCAAATAACACCAAAAACAAACAAACATAAAAACCCTAGCCTAGGCTGGCGGTGCGGACAGATGGGCTTCCTGCGTTGGGAGAACAGAGACTCTGGGGGCGTGGCTTAAGGCCCCGCCCACCCGCGCGGTTTTCAAACAGGTCCGCTCTCAGTGCATATAAGCCGGGTGGCCGGTGGCGGCTGAGCACCGTCGGCGGCTCTCGTGCGAAGATGTCGGGTCGAGGCAAGGGCGGCAAAGGGCTCGGCAAGGGCGGCGCCAAGCGGCACCGCAAGGTCCTGCGCGACAACATCCAGGGCATCACGAAGCCCGCCATCCGGCGCCTGGCCCGGCGCGGCGGCGTCAAGCGCATCTCGGGGCTCATCTACGAGGAGACCCGGGGCGTCCTCAAGGTGTTCCTGGAGAACGTGATCCGGGACGCCGTCACCTACACCGAGCACGCCAAGCGCAAGACCGTCACGGCCATGGACGTGGTCTACGCGCTCAAGCGCCAGGGCCGCACGCTCTACGGCTTTGGGGGCTGAGCGCGCCCCCGCCGCACACACACCCCAAAAGGCCCTTTTCAGGGCCCCCACCCCCAAGGCGTCCGCGAAGAGAGCTGCGCGCGCACCGGCCGTACCCTGGGGTCTTTGTATTCGCTTGTATGCAAATGAGGGTGAGCGGCGTTCCCGCTCCCCATTGGAGCGCCTGGCTCCGGGGTGGGCGGTGCTTAGCGGCGGCGCTCCTCTGATTGGCGCAGGCCGCGTGTCCCGATGTTTATAAGGGAGCGCGGCGCGGCCGGGCCTTGGCCGATTGGCGCCCGGCGTCGGCCGAGGCTCCTGGATGTGGGCTCGGGCGAGGTTTCAGGAAGTGTGGGGAAGCCCCAGGGTGAAGAGCTGGGGGTCCTCGGATTCAGGGCCTGGGGGGGGTCCCCAAAACTGAGGCCTGCCTGGGCGCCGGTGCTCAGGCCTGAGCTGAGGATCGCGGTTCGAGGCCAGCCCGGGCAGGAAAGGCCCCGAGACTCATCTCCACCAGGAACCAGGCTCAAGTGGCAGCGCGCCCGCCTTCAGGCCCGAGGCCTGGCACCGAGGGGTGTGTCTTTCTATAAATAATAATCAGCGAATCGTCACCGGCCCTGGGTTCACCCACCCGGGGCTGGCACGGATGAGTGAGTGAACGGAGGGAGGGAGGGATGGATGAGTGAGTGAACGGAGGGAGGGAGGGAGGGATGGATGGAAGGAGGGATGGATGGAAGGAGGGATGGATGGATGAGTGAATGAACGGAGGGAGGGATGGATGGGTGGGTGGGTAGGTGGATGGGTGAGTGGAGGGATGGATGGATGAATGAGTGAATGAACGGATGGAGGGATGGATGGATGAATGAGTGAATGAAGGGATGGATAGATGAATGAGTGAATGAACGTATGGATGGGTGGAGGGATGGATGGATGGGTGGGGGACGCGAACTGCGCCCCGGCCCCGCGGCCTGGGCACGGCTCCTCCATCACCTGTGCCTCCCATTTGCTCCCCAGACCTGAGGCTGCCCCCCAAAAGGAGCCCGACCCAGGCGGGGTCACCCTGGCCGCCCCTCAGCACCCACCCGGCCCGGGCTGGCCAGGGGTGTGGTCCTTACCCCCAGGGTGGGCCAGGAGAAGTCGGGGTGACCCCGGACCCAGGAGAAGTTGAGGTGACCCCAGGCCCCAGGGTGAACCAGAAGTCAGGGTGACCCAGAGCCCCAGGGTGGGCCAGGAGAAGTCAGATTGAGCCCAGCCTCCAGCCATCCCAAGGATCAGCACTTGCAGAAGTACCAGGCCAGCACCCAGGCCACCAGAACCTTCTCTCGCCTCAGCCCTGCAATTTCTGCCTTCCAGGGGTGGTAGGAGGAGGGCCCCCCCACCCCGGCCTGCAGCAGTGGGGCCCGATGCCCCCCTACTTTTCCTCCGAGGACCAGGGCTGCAGGAAGCTAACTTGAGAACCCCACAGCCCAATCCAAGCTTCCAGATATAGATAGGAAGGAGGAGCGGAATCAGGCAGGAGAGGAAATGGCTAAGAGCAGGAAACAGCCAGGCCGGAAACACCAAGGCCAGGCCCCAAATGGACCTTCCGGCCTTTTCATTTGTCTTCTTCTTGTTTGTCCTGGGACTTGAGCTCATGGCCTGGGTGCTGTCCCTGAGCTCTTTCGCTCAAGGCTGGAGCTCTACCACTTGAGCCACAGCGCCACTTCTGGTTTTCTAGTGGTTCCTGGGAGATCAGAGTCTCACAGACTTTCCTGCCCTGGCTGGCTTTGAACCGCGATCCTCGGATCTCAGCCTCCTGAGTGGCTGGGATGACAGGCGGGAGCCACCAGCACCGGGGCCACTTGTTTGTTTAAATCTATTTTTTTGCTTTCATAAAAGTGAACTAAAAGACACTTTGTGTGGCACATAATCATGTCCTTACCAATTCAGAACCCCAAGTTTTTTATTTGGCGGTGGAACAGAGGGTTTTCTCCTCCCGGTCCGACTGGCTGTGTGTCTGCTCTTTTTATAGCTCGTTTATGTATTTATGGCCCATAGTTTTTTATTTCCTCCCACACTTCCTCCTGTCCCTCTGTGAACTCATTTTCATTTCAGGTCATCTCCCCCCGGCTCTCCACACCAGCTCCAGCCCCCAGACTCAGTCATCCGGTTTGACTGGAAGGCGGCAGAGCTTTAGAATGATCCAGAACTCCAAAGGCGGACTGTCCACATGCAATGCGTGGGATCTTCTACCAAAAGAGTTTCCTTCCTCTATAAAACAAAGATATAGGATCATTAAAAAAAAAAAAAAATCCTCTGAGCTACAGTTGGGAAGATCAAACAAGAAAAGTCTAAGGGAAACGGTTCAATGTTCACTTCCCAGCAGGTGCTCAATTAAAAAGGAAGAGGAGCTGGGCATGGTGGCTCACACCTGTCATCCCAGCTACTCAGGAGGCTGAGATCTGAGGATCACGCTTCAAAGCCAGCCTGGGCAGGAAAGTCCGTGAGATTCTTATCTCCAAAGAACCACTGGAAAAACAGAAGTGGTGCTGTGGCTCAAGTGGTAGAGTGCCAGCCTTGAGTGAAAGTGCTCAGGGACAGTGCCCAGGCCCTGAGTTCAAGTCCCATGAGCAACAAAAAAAACAGAGAGAGAGGAAAGCCCAGAACTGGCACAAAAGACAGACTGATGAAAGAAAGAAAGAGAGAAAGAAAGAGAGAGAGAGAGAGAGAGGAAGGAAGGAAGGATGATAGGGATTTTTTTGTTTTGTTTTGTTTTTATGGTTGCTTTTTGTTGTTGTTGGTCACTTGTTTTTTGTTGCTTTTTGTTGTTGTTGGTCACCGGGTTTGAACTCAGGGCCTGGGCGCTGTCCCTGAACACTTTCATTCAAGGCTGGTGCTCTACCACCTGAGCCACAGCGCCACTTCCATTTATTGGTGATAAGAATCTCACGGACTTTCCTGCCTGGGGTTGGTTTTGAATCACGATCCTCGGATCTCAGCCTCCTGAGCAGCTGGGATGAGCCATTGGCGTCCAGCTTAGATATTTTTTAATATAGGTATTAAGATGGTAATATATATTATTTTTTTTGGGGGGGGGTCTGGTTGTGGGCTTGAACTCAGGGCCTGGGTGCTGTCCCTCAGCTCTTCAACTCAAGGCTAGCGCTCTAACACTTGAGCCACAGCGCCACTTCCAGCTTTTTTCTTTTTTTGCTTATGTGGTGCTGAGGAATTGAACCCAGGGCCTCATGCATGCAAGGCAAGCGCTCTACCACTGAGCCACCTTCCCAGCCCAGTAATGTATATTATTTATATTCCTTTTTCTTTGTATTTGAGTCCAAAGCACTGGACACTTTGTCTCTCTGCCTCATCAGCCCCCCCCACCACCGCACCCCCTACACCCCAGGGAAATGAGGTCATTCTTTTCCGGAGGAAATTCAGATTCACAGATGCAACCCAGCGCGGCACTTCCTCCCTGCTGCCCTGTGGCGGGGCGGGTGCCATCCGTCCTGGCTTGGGTCAGAGCTTGGCCGCCCCCCGTGGGAGGCCTCACACCTAGTGGCCGACCTCAAGATGGTCCAAGACCACCTTCCCGTCCCCCTCTGCTAACCACGTCTGTGGAGAGGCCCGGCCTGGCCAGCGCTCAGCCCCCACGCACGGCCCACCTGCCCCGTGACGCCACACAGCTGCGCCCCTCCCCACCTGGGCGTCTCTCCTCCAGCACCCCTTCTTCTGTCCCTCTCCAAATCCTTGCCAGGGGACCCGGGGAACCACCGGTGCTGCTCCGAGCTGCAGGCTCCTCCCCCTCCCCGCTCCCGGAGTTCTCAAACTCAGCGGACAGCTCTGCCAGCCACCTAGCTGGGCAGATCAGGGAATCTTAATCCCGCCCGAGCCCCCAGACCAGTTGAATACCAAGCCCCTGTGTGTGCAGGTGCACACGTGTGCATGTGCATGCATGTGTGTGTTTGTGTGTGTGTGTGTGTGCCTGGGCCCTGTCTTTAAGCATTTCTCACCTTGGTGCTTTACCACTTGAACCACAGCTCCACTTTAGGCTTTAAAATGCATATATATACATATACATGTATATATATATGCATATATATATTGTGATGACAAAGGTGGCAGGCAGAGGGGTGACAGTGGCATCAGTCAGGTCACGAGCGCGTTTCTCTGTGGACCCTGTCCCCCCGTCCCTCGCTCTCTCCCCCAGTGTCTCCCTCCCGTCCCCACCCACCAGTGGTAGAGTTCATTCTCCACCTGGTGTCCAGTGAGGACCATGGCTGCCTTGGTTCCCCCTCTGTCCCCCCATTTCTGTGCCCCCCCCTTCTAGAGACAGAGAAACCCACTCACGAGACAAAAAGAAAAGCAAAGACAACGTAGAAGACAAAACTCTCTGGTTTCCATTTCCTGGCGTCCATTTGGGCCAGGATTACTTAGGCCTTGCCCCTTTGTGCTCCTCCTTGGGTCTCTATGTGGATGCCTAGAGTTTAGGCTTTGTTTTATGTTTTGCTGGCTCATTGGAGATCAGAGTCTCACAGACTTTCCTGCCCGGGCTGGCTTCGTACCGCGATCCTCAGATCTCAGCCTCCTGAGCAGCCAAGTGTGGTCCCACACTAGCCTGAGCCACCTTGTCCAAATCCATCTGCTCCACGGATGGACAGACGTCTCTTTCTGTCCTGACTTGGGAGATGGCTCCTGATCACCTGCAGGCGACTCCAGGGCCCAGCCCTGCTTACTCTTCTGGAATCTTCTATGGCGACTGGGACTCCTGGTGCTACCCCTGGCCCAGATTATCTCCAGCAGGCCATGTGCCTTCCTACCCAGTGGCCCAACCCAGGCCCAGTAGGGCCTCCCATCCTTCCCAGTCTGCTTCCCCCTGGCTTTCTAGAACATTCATGGGATACCACCATGAGCCCAGACCCCTTCCAATTTTGTTTCCCACTGTGGAGTGCAGGTTTGGGGGTTTGTTTTTTTTTTGCTCGTGAATCCATCGGCTGCCTCCAGAGCGAACTCCTCCTGCTTGGAAAGTTCCAGCGTGATACCTGGCTGACAGCTAAGCCTCCCTATGGACAGACAGACAGACAGACGGTCCTGTCGGTATCTTCCCTACGTCCTTTAACCACCGCAGCCGCACCCGGCCGTGTTCCGTGTTCCCGGCCTCACAGCCACTTCCCCTTTCCCTCCCCCTCCTCCCTCCCCTCCTCCCTCCCCTCCTCCCCCCCCCCCCCAGTCACCTGTCACCACCTGAGGTTCTTTTATGGGGTGAGGCCCAAGGCCGGGGCGGGGGGGGGGGGGGTGCCTCTCAGTTTATGGCTGTGACCTTTCTCTGCACAAACACACCGGAGTGAACTTTGCTTCTGTGGATTGCCGGCCGGCTGATACTCCAGGCAGGGTCTGGTGGGGTGCAGGCCCAAAAGGATCGTGGAGGTCGGGGTGGAGGGGGTACTGCAGGCTGTCTGGAGGGATCTCCTAGATCCCCAAAACACCAACAAGCCGGTGGCCGGCGGGGCCGCTGGGGCAGGAGGCAGGAACATGGTGGTGGCGTGAACCAGCTATGGAGCGGCCTCTCTTAAGCCCGGCCCTGTGGGGTTGGTGGCTGTGGCTGCTCTGCCAGCCGGGCCTGGCATTCTGGGGTTCACAGCTGAGCCGGAACTGCCACAACGGCAGCTACCAGATCAGCGTGCTGATGATGAACAACTCGGCCTTCCCCGAGTCCCTGGACAACCTGAAGGACGCCGTGAATGCCGGCCTGGATGTGGTGAGGGTGCGGCTGCTGGCGGCCGGTGAGTCAGCACCCTTCCCCGCTCCCCCTGGGGGGCCGGGGCTCCCTCCTGGGGTTCGCTCTCGTGTTACCCTCCCCCGCTCGGCTCTGGGAAGGAGTTCAGGGAACCCTGGGATCCCCTCCCCACACCGAAAGCCGGGTCTTAGAAGCCTCACCTGTCCTTCCCAAGATCTGGGTGACCCCAAGGCCCAAGCCCCCCAAATGGGGTGACGGGGGATGAACCCCACACAGGGGCCCGGCCCACGTGGTGAACACGCAGCGAATTTTAGCTTCTTTTATTATTTTTATGCTTTTGGGGGGTGTTCTGATCTTCGAGTACAAAGGGCTCCGTGGTGTCTTTTAAGCGTCTATATACATGTATGTTGAATAACAATTTTTATAAGGAGATGCCTAATGCAGAGAGGAAAGGGGAAAATCAAACGGTCTGGGATGGTTTCCAGCCACCTGCGTGTCGCTTTGATGTTTCTGCTCAGCTTCTTGCATCTGTTTTTGTTTTGTTTTTGGTGCCGGTCCTGGGGCTCGAACTCGGGGCCTGGGCGCTGTCCCTGAGCCTTTTTTTTTTTTTTTTTTTGCTCAAGGCTGGTGCTTTACCACCCGAGCCACAGCCCCGCTCCTGACCTTTTATTTTTTTGGTGGTTCCTTGGAGATCAGAGTCTCCAATGACCACCAGAACCCCCCCCCTCCGGTCCTGCGGGGACTCACGCTGACTCCCTCCCCCCCTCCACACCCTCCTTCCTGGGGGGCCCCAGGAATCCAGGCAAAGGTGAATGCTTCCTTCATGTATTCGGACGGCCTCATCCACAACTCCGGGGATTGCCGCAGCAGCACCTGTGAAGGCCTGGACCTGCTGCGGGAGATCACGGTGAGCCCCCACCCCTTGTCCCCCCCAACCCCGCCCATCCCCGCCGCTCAGAGACACAGCCTGGAGCCACACCCTTCCAGAAGCATCCAGGGGAAAGGTGTTCCTTTAAATTTTCATTTATTTTTTTAAGATGTCAGGAACAACCCAGCGGCCTGTGGCATCCTTCGGGAAAGCCAGGAGGAGACATCTTTAAAGAAAAAAAAAAATATATATATATATATATGTATATATATATATATATATATATTTCAGAGCTGAGGGCTCACACCTGTCATCCCAGCTACTCAGGAGGCTGAGATCTGAGGATCTTGGTTCAAAGCCAGACCGGGCGAGGAAAGTCTGTGAGACTCTTGTTCCCAATGAACCAAAAATCAAAAAGAGCCAGGAGTGGAGGAGGTGTGGCTCAAGTGGTAGAGAGCCAGCCTTGAGTACCAAAGCTCAGGGACAGCGCCCCGGCCCTGAGTTCAAGTCCCAGTAGCATCACCCAAAAATTAAAACAAAATTGTATTTGGGGCCCACGGCGGAAATGCATGTTTCCTGTCCTCACTGCTTGCGAGATCACAAGTGAACGGCCTAGCAATAACCTGAAACCTCACCTTAAAGTTGTTCCTGAAATAGGACAGGGTAAACTGAGGAAGGCTCTTGCCTGCATCCCTATACCCCTTCCCCCCATGACCACTAACCCCAGCCCTAACTAAAGCCCAGAGAAGGATGAGATGGTATGTCCCAGAGAGCAGAGAGACCTTGTTCTGGAAACTTCCTCCATCATTTCCTGTGGGCCGGCAGGTCAGGATGAGCGGCTGATTGTGTGTCTGAGCAGATGGGAGTAGGGGGCTGATGGATCGTCGGCCCCCACCGGCTCCCTCATCTAACCAGGTCATGGGTGAGCCAGACAACCACTGGAGCACCAGATCCACAATCTCCCTGGCTCTGCCCAAATCAGAACCGCCCCCCTCCCCCCTCCCTCGCCATCTTCAATTCACTCTTCCCCTCTGGTGCTACGGACCCAGTGTCTGTCCCTCCTCTTATCTTCCCACTCGGCCCTGGATGAGGAATCCTCCTCTTCTCGGCGAGCTGACCATGCACCACCGCCCCCCCCCCCACCCTCCCGCTCTCCCCAGACCTCCGCCCCGGCCTCGCCCCAGCCCCAGCTCTCCGTGCTCTGCCCTCGGACCCTTGGATGGCCTGTTTGTTGGGTTTGTGGAGCTTGAGGCCTCCGGGTGGCCTTGTTTTTTTTTTCTCCCGCAGAGGAGAAACCAGATGGGCTGTGTGCTGATGGGACCTTCGTGCACCTACGCCACCTTCCAGATGTAGTAAGTGTCCTGCTGTGTGGTCACCGTGGTCCTTGTCGATCTCTGATGACTGGGAAGGGACGAGGCTCTGTGTCTGGCAGCCACCTGCAGTCTAGGCAGGGTAGGGAGGGGACATCGGGACCCTGTGTGTTGTCATCGGTCTGTCAGGGCGCTGGTCTGGACACTGGTGAGTGACAGTCCACCAATTGCCATCTGAGTGGGAGACAGCCATTTTAGTCAGTCTCTGGGCTTGAACTCGGGGCCTGGGCGCTGTCCCTGAGCTTCTTTCACTCAAGGCCGGTGCTCTACCACTTGAGCCACAGCTCCACTTCCGGCTTTTTCTGTGTTGTGGTGCTGAGGAATCGAACCCAGGGCTTCATGCATGCTAGCAGAGCGCTCTACCACTGAGCCACCTGCCCAGCCCCAGTCCGTGAGACTCTGATCTCCAAGGACCCACCAGAAAACCAGAAGTGGCGCTGTGGCTCAAGTGGTAGAGCGCCAGCCTTGAGCTGAAGAGCGGAGGGACAGCGCCCAGGCCCTGAGTTCAAGACCCAGGACTGACAAGAAATAAACAAACAAATAAATAAATGAAATCAAAGTTCTTCACCAGATGCCTTTATGAGGTCAGAGAAAGCCACGCATGTATATTCTAGAACATGCTTTCTCCAGTTTGGGGGACCCAGCCCCCCCCGTGCCCCACCCCGAGTCCCGGCCCCCCCATCTCCCCACCCCGGCCACCACAGCAAGGGTCCCCCAACACAGGCTTCGACAGGTTCACGGACCGGCCTGGAGATGCCCGTCCCCAGGGCCCGGGGGAGAGGGGAACGCCTCTCCCAGGATGGATCATTCTAGAACAAATCAAAGTCTCCCACCAGGAGAGGACTCCTCCCCCCAGGGACCCCAGGGCCGGGCGTCACCCCCTGCGCCACATGCGAGAAGAAGCAGGGGGGTCGAGTTGGGGTGCGCCCCGTCCTGATGGCACCCTCCCCCGCACAGCCTGGACACGGAGCTGAGCTACCCCATGCTGTCCGCGGGCAGCTTCGGCCTGTCCTGCGACTACAAGGAGAGGCTCACGCGCCTCATGGTGCCCGCGCGGAAGCTGCTGTACTTCCTCGTGGACTTCTGGAAGGCCCAGGACCTGCCCTTCAAGACCTTCTCCTGGAACTCGTCCTACGTCTACAAGGACACCTCCGACTACGCCGAGGACTGCTTCTGGTGAGCGGGGACCCCCTCCCCGCCCCCGACCTCACGTCCTCCCCTCCTCCCTCCCTCCCCTCCTCCCCTCCCACCGGATTGCCACGGACACCCGCCAGGGGCCCGGCGCAAAGCAGACGCCCAGCAAGAGACAAGCAGATGGACCGGACAGGCAGCAGCTAGATGGCAGATGGAAGGATGGAAGGATGGATGGAAGGATGGAAGGATGGATGGAAGGATGGAAGGATGGAAGGATGGAAGGATGGATGGAAGGATGGAAGGATGGATGGAAGGATGGATGGAAGGATGGAAGGATGGATGGAAGGATGGATGGATGGATGGATGGAAGGATGGATGGGTGGATGGATGGATGGATGGATGGATGGATGGAAGGATGGAAGGATGGAAGGATGGAAGGATGGATGGATGGGTGGATGGAAGGATGGATGGATGGATGGAAGGATGGATGGGTGGATGGATGGATGGCAGATAGGTCAGACAGACAGACAGACAGATAGATAGATAGATAGATAGATAGATAGATAGATAGATAGATAGATAGATAGATAGATAGATAGATAGATAGATAGATAGATAAAGATACGTAGACGAAAGATAGGTGGATGGATGGATGGATTGACAGATAGGTAGATGATGGATAGATGGATGGATAGATGGATGGATGGATAGACAAATAGATGGATAGACATAGATAGATAGATAGATAGATGATGGATGGATAATGGATGGATAGATGATGGATGGATGGATGAATGGATGGATGACAGACAGATAGGTCAGACAGGTAGATGGATAGATAGATAGATACATAGATGGTAGATAATGGATGGATGGATAGATAGACAGGTAGATGATGGATAGATGAATGGATAGATGGATAGATGGACCTAGATAGCTAGCTAGCTAGCTAGCTAGATAGATAGATAATGGATAGATGTATGGATGGGTAGATGATGGATGGATGGATAGAGGGAGGGAGGGATGAATAGATGGATAGATGGATGGATGAATGGGTGGACAGGTGGATAGATGGATGGATGGGTGGGTGGGTAGATGGATGGATGAATAGACAGATGGATGGATATAGATGATGGATAGATGGATAGATGGATGGATGGAAAGATGGATGGATAGATGATGGATGGATGGATAGAGGGAGGGAGGGATGAATAGATGGATAGATGGATGGATGGATGGATGGATGGATAGATGGATGGATGGTGGATGGATGGTGGATGGATGGATAGATGGATGGATGGTGGATGGATGGATGGATAGATGGATGGATAGATGATGGATGGTGGATGGATGGATGATAGATGATGGCTGGATACATGGATGGACAGATGGATGGATAGATGATGGATGGATGGATAGATGATGGATGGATGGATAGATGGATGGATGGTGGATGGATGGATAGATGGATGAATAGACAGATGGATGGATATAGATGATGGATAGATGGATAGATGGATGGATGGAAAGATGGATGGATAGATAATGGATGGATGGATGGATAGATGGATGGATGGATGGATGGATGGATGGATAGATGGATGGATGGTGGATGGATGGATGGATGGATAGATGGATGGATGGTGGATGGATGGATGGATAGATAGATGGATGGATAGATGATGGATGGTGGATGGATGGATGATAGATGATGGCTGGATACATGGATGGACAGATGGATGGATAGATGATGGATGGATGGATAGATGATGGATGGATGGATAGATGGATGGATGGTGGATGGATGGATAGATGGATGAATAGACAGATGGATGGATATAGATGATGGATAGATGGATAGATGGAAAGATGGATGGATAGATAATGGATGGATGGATGGATAGATGGATGGATGGATGGATGGATGGATAGATGGATGGATGGTGGATGGATGGGTGGATGGTGGATGGATGGATAGATGGATGGATGGTGGATGGATGGATGGATAGATAGATGGATGGATAGATGATGGATGGTGGATAGATGGATGGATAGGTGATGGCTGGATACGTGGATGGATGGATGGATGCTAGGTGATGGGTCGATATGATGGTGGATGGTGAGCATTCTCTGGGACGGCCCAGCCTGGACTCCAGTCCACACAGGGATTCTTGAATCAGAGCTGTCCGCTGTCCTCAGCACCGAGGGAGACAGGGCTCCGAGCGCACATGACCACAACCCCCCGAGGAGGACAGCTCTCCCCTCTGAGCTCCATTCCTCTCAGCCAGGCGCTGGGAGGACACCCGCGGACCCGAGCCTCAGTTTCCCCTCCCATGGCAGGTACCTCAATGCGCTGGAAGCCGGAGTCTCCTACTTTTCTCAGGTGCTCAGCTTCAAAGAAACCCTGAGGCGTCAAGATCAGTTCCGGGATTTCTTAACAGACAGACACAGGAAGAGTAATGGTAAGGAAAGGACTCCGAGAAAAGTGCTCTTGGGCCCTTGTCACAGCACCCAGCTCTGTGTGTGTGTGTGTGTGTGTGTGTGTGTGTGTGTGTGTGTGTGTGTGTGTGTGCATGTACACACACACGTGTCGGTCCTTGCGTTTGAACTCAGGGCCTGGGCCCTGTCCCTGAGAGTTTTATTTTTTTTGCTCAAGGCTGGCGCTCTACCACTTGAGCCACAGGACCATGTTTGGCATTGGGGTGGCTCATTGCAGATCAGAGTCTCACAGACTTTCATGCCCCGGGCTGGCTTTGAACCACGATCCTCAGACGTCAGCCTCCTGAGTAGCTGGGATGGCAGGCGTGAGCACGGGCACTGGGCAGGTTTTCGCAGGATGAGGTTCAGATTCAGGGATAGGTGTGCTTCCTGCCGAGGTGTGGCCCACCATAGACTCCTCTGTCTGTCTGTCTGTCTGTCTGTCTGTCTGTCTGTCTGTCCGTTTCCCCCGTTTCCCCCTGGGCAGTGATTGTCACCTGCGGGACCCCAGACCACATCAACAAGCTGGTAGGAGACCAGGCCGTCGATGAAAACACTGTCATCATCCTGGTGGATTTGTTCAAGTAGGTGATCGCCCGGACACCCCCCCGGTGGGCAGGGGGTGTGGGGGGATGGGCGGGGGATGGGCGGGGGGGCAGGGTGCTCTTCGCTCGCGCTTTGGGCTCGGGATAGGATGGCATTTGAGCTACCCTTCCTCTCCCGCCTCTGCCGGCTCCCGTGTTCTTTATTCACCTGTGGATGCATCTACCTGCGTGCGACCGCACCGGGACTCGCACCCAGAGCCTCCTGAGCAAGGCTTCCACCGCCTGAGCATCGCCCAGGCCTTGTGGGGTCTTTGTTAGAGTTTTCGTTCACCTTTGAGATCGGTCTCTCTGGCATGGCCCAGGCCCAATTCTTGGTCCTCCTGTTCACACCTCCCTCACCGTAGCTGGGAGTATAGAAATACTCTACCACACCCGGCCACATGCTCATTGTGGGTTATGTTTTCTGTGTCAGCCCTGGGCCTTGAACTCGGGGCCTGGGCGCTGTCCCTGAGCACTTTTGCTCAAGGCTGGCGCTCTACCACTTGAGCCACAGCACTGCTTCGGGTTTTCTGGTGGTTCATGGGAGATCAGAGTCTCCCGGACTTTCCTGTCCCGGGCTGGCTTTGAATCGCGATCCTCAGATCTCAGCCTCCCGAGTGGCTGGGATGACAGGCGTGAGCCGCAGCGCTCAGCACAATTCCCTGGAAGTTCACAGAGCCGGGTTTTGTTACAGTGACCACTACTTTGAAGACAACGCCACTGCTCCTGACTCCATGACCAACGTCCTGGTCCTCACGCTGCTGCCCAGAGACTCCGTCCTGAACATCTCCTTCTCCAGGGGCCTGCTGCCGGTACGCTGTGCGGGAGAGTGCGTGTGTCTGTGTCTCTGTCTGTCTGTCTGTGCTGATCCTGGGGCTTGAACTCACTTGTGACCCCTCCCTCATTTTTCTCCCGCTTTCCCTCACCCCCAGTCCGAGCTCTTGCTACTCAAGGCTGGCGGGTGCTCGACCACTTGAGCCACAGCACCACTGCCACCTTTCTAGTGGGTCACTGGAGATCAGAGTCTCCCAGACTTTCCTGCCCGGGCTGGCTTTGAACCACGATCCTCAGATCTCAGCCTCTGTAGTAGCTGGGATGACAGGCGTGAGCCACTGGTGCCTTATTGCTTTCTATTTTTATTTTGGTGAAAATATCAAACTACAAACATTCTATATTACACATATATCCATATATATACATTCCCATCTATGTTTACATTATGTATTATATATTATGACACTATGTCTTACTATATGTAATAATTATAATATACAGTATTATCTAATGAAATATGACATATCAATATTGTAGCATAATATACTAATGTAATATATAATATATAATACTATATATACTATATAATAATAGAATTATTATAATTACATGATACATTATGTATATGTTTTAATATAATATATTATATAACTTAATATATAATATGTAATGTATAATATGTAAAATATATTACATATCATGTTTATATAATATATTATATAATAAAATATATAATATATTATAATAAATTATATAATAACTTATATAATAATAAATTATCTTATATTATATAATATATTATCTTATAATATATTATATAATAAATTATATAATAATATATAATATTAAGTTATATAATAATATATATTATGTTATAATATGTAATACATGGGCTGGGACGGTGGCTCAGTGGTAGAGTGCTTGCCTCGCATGTATGAGGCCCTGGGTTCGATTGCTCAGCACCACATAAATGGAAAAAGCTGGAAGTGGCGCTGTGGCTCAAGTGGTAGAGCGCCAGCCTTGAGCTGAAGAGTTAAGGGACAGCGCCCAGGCCCAGAGTTCAGGCCCCACAACTGACAAAAACAATATATATATATATATATGTATATATATATATATATATATATAGTAATATATTACAATAACATGTTATTTCTGTATCACCTACATGATCTATGTATTATCTAATCTATTGCATGCACATATATTTTTATATACTTGCCTATATTTCCATAGGGCTATATGGCTAGATTCTATACATATGCACACGTGCACACACACGTGCGGCCCCGTGTGCTCCCGGCGGGCCGCGGTGTGTGTAGTCGGGAAGGCAGCAGCGGAGCCCTTGGCTGCTCTCTGCCAGGAGTCAGCCCTGTGCAGTCTCAGCCCTGTCCCGGCCTTTCTGGCCAGCAGGGGGAGGCAGCCGCAAGCATCCGGGCTCCAGGCCGAGCTCCCTGGGATCTGCCTTAGCACCGGCCTCTGTCCCCCTGCGGTCAGTTAGCATTTTCTCTCCCCTGGGGGCTCCAGGCCGGCTCACCGCCTCCCCTGGTTCGGGGCCCGATGGCCTTCTTTCCCCTCCCCGGCAGGAGAAGAAGGACTTCGCGCTGGCCTACCTGGACGGCACGCTGCTGTTCGGACACCTCCTGCAGCTCTTCCTGCAGCGCGGCCAGGCCGTGGACAGCACCAGCTTCCCGCTCGCCTTCCGGAACCTCACCTTCCCAGGTGAGACCTCGGGGCTGGGCCGGGGAGCGGCCCCGAGTCCCCATCCTCCACCCGCGACCACGCCACGCGGATTAAGACTCGTCAAGCGACTCAGCGCAGCAGCGCTGCTTTGGGGCGAGCACCGGAGCTGGGGCTGGAACTCATGGCCCCGGCGCTGACCCTGGGCTCTTGCTTCATTCAAGACTGGCGCTCCACCACTTGAGCCACACCGCCACTTCTGGCTTTTTGCTAGTGTGAGTGGGAGATGAGAATGTATCAGACGATTCTGCTGCGCTGCGTATTACACATGGCGTATAGTGCGTGTGATGTCATTTTGTATGTGATCATTTTGTATGACGGATGCGTGCATCACACTATGGCGCATGATACGGTTATATATGACATGCGTGGCATCTGTCACGCGTGGTGTGTGGAGTGAGGGCTAACAGCCTGGAGACGGGTGCGCCACATAGCACGCATCCTGTAATGGTCAAGGCTCTCAGGAAGCACGAGGCCGCGGCTCTGCGTGGACCTGGGACCCCGCCACGGGCATCCACAGCAGCACCCCTCCCCCAGACCCCCGCCCCTCCCCCAGACCCCCGCCCCTCCCCCAGACCCCCGCCCCTCCCCCAGACCCCCGCCCCTCCCCCAGACCCCCGCCCCTCCCCTCCTCTCCCCCGCCCCTCCCCCAGACCCCCACCCCTCCCCTCCCCCAGCCTCTCCCCCTCCCCCAGCCCCTCCCCTCCTCTCCCCTGCCCCTCCCCTCCCCCAGCCTCTCCCCCTCCCCCAGCCCCTCCCCTCCTCTCCCCTGCCCCTCCCCTCCCCCAGCCTCTCCCCCTCCCCCAGCCTCTCCCCTCCCCCAGCCTCTCCCCCTCCCCCAGCCCCTCCCCTCCTCTCCCCCACCCCTCCCCTCCCCCACCCCTCCCCTCCCCCAGCCTCTCCCCCTCCCCCAGCCTCTCCCCCCCGCCCCTCCCCTCCCCCAGCCTCTCCCCTCCCCCAGCCTCTCCCCCTCTCCCAGCCTCTCCCCCTCCCTCCAGCCTCTCCCCCTCTCCCAGCCTCTCCCCCTCCCCCAGCCTCTCCCCTCCCCCAGCCTCTCCCCCTCCCTCCAGCCTCTCCCCCTCCCCCAGCCTCTCCCCTCCCCCAGCCTCTCCCCTCCCCCAGCCTCTCATGCTCCCCTCCCCCCTAGGTTACAGGGGCCCCGTGACCTTGGATGACTGGGGTGACATTGACAACACCATGGCGCTCCTGTACACCTCTGTGGACACCCGGAAGGTGGGTGAGGCTGCAGGAGGCGCTGGGCCTCAGGCCAGGTGAGGGGGGGAGGGGGGGGGGCCGCAGGGGCAGGGGGGAGGGGCGGGGGGCCGCAGGGGCGGAGGGAGGGGCGGGGGGCAGAGAGAAGCGGGGCTGGCACGGGGCGGCTGGCTGTTACAGCTGTCCACCACCAGGGGGCAGTGTCGCCCAGGGCTTCTCGCTACGCTTCTCTCCTGAGCGCAGGCCATGCGTGATTTCCTGCTGACAGGTGTGTGTGCATGTGTGAGTGTGTGCGTGTGTGCACGCGCATGCGTGCACAGACACAGCTGTGCGAATGCATGTGCTGGAAAATGATCCATCCGGACCGCAGCGGCTTGTGCGGTCACCCCAGCCCCCAGTTCAAAGCCAGCCCGGCCAGGAAAGTCCCTGACACTCAGCTCCGCTGATCCACCAAAAAGCCGGAAGTGGAGCTGTGGCTCAAGTGGTAGAGCACCAGCCTTGAGCACCAAGAGGCTCAGGGACAGCACCCAGGCCCCGAGTTCAAGCCCCAGGACCGGCATATACACATATAACAATTATCCAAAATAAGTGTGCATAGAGACCAGATTGTTGATGGAATGCCAGTAAGAAAATGCTTCAATTGAACGTGGAAAGCTGCTGCCTGCCAGCAGCGCTCCCTTCCGTCTTTTCGGCTTTAATGTCAGCATGGCGGATGAGCCCCCCACAGCCTCAGGAGTCCGTATCAATCAGGGCCAGCGATGGACAGATACTGCAGCATAAAGAAACTCAGCTACTCAGGAGGCTGAGATCTGAGGATCACGGTTCAAAGCCAGCCCAGGCAGGAAAGTCTGTGAGACTCTGATCTCCAATGAACCCAGCAAAAAGCCAAAGTAGAACTCTGGCTCAAGTGGTAGAGCACTTGCCTTGAGCAAAAAAGCTCAGGGACAGTGCCCAGGCCAAGAAAGAGGAAAGGAAGAGAAGGAAAGAAGGAAGAAAAGAGGAGGGAGAGAAAGAGGAAGGAAAGGAAGGGAGGGAGGGAAGGGAGGAAGGAAGGAAAGGAAGGAAGGAGGGAGGGAAGGAGGGAGGGAGGGAGGAAGGAAGGAAGGAAAGAAGGGGAAGGAGGGGGCTGGGAAGGTGGCTCAGTGGTAGAGCGCTTGCCTTGCATGCATGAGGCCCTGGGTTCAATTCCTCAGCACCACATAAGCAGAAAAAATAAGCCAGAAGTGGCGCTGTGGCTCAAGTGGTAGAGCGCTAGCCTTGAGCTGAAGAGCTGAGGGACAGCGCCCAGGCCCAGAGTTCAGGCCCCATGACAGGACCTAAAAAAAAAAAAAAGAAAAGAAGGGGAAGGAGGGAGGGAAGGGAAAGCATGAATGAGGAGGGAAGGAAGAAGGGAGGAAGGAAGGGAGGGAGGGGAGGGAAGGAGGGAGGGGAGGGAGGGAGGGAGGAAGGAAAGGAGGGAAGGGGAGAGAAGGAAGGAGAGAAAGACAGTGAAAGAGAAGAAACAAAACAAGAAGTGGGGAGAAGAGGGAAAGAGGGAGGGAAGGGGAGGGAGGGGAGGCAGGGGAGGCAGGGGAGGGAGGGGGAGGGCCAGCCCCTGGCATAGGCCCAGGTTGTGGCCGTGTGGTCTGCAGGCTGACTTCCCACGCTGGTGGCCGTGTCCCGGGCCGGCAGGTGTGTGTCTGTGGCGGCCGGGCCGGCCGGTGTGTGTCTGTGGCGGCCGGTGGGGTGTGCGCCATGCCCTCTCCTTCCTCCCGGCAGTACAAGCTCCTGCTCACCTACGACACGCACCTGAACCGCACGCACGCCGAGGACGCCAGCCCCTCGTTCCTCTGGAAGAACCACCGTCTCCCCAACGACGTGCCGGGCCTGGGTGGGTCCTGGATGCCACGGCCCGCTGAGGTGTCGCTGCCATGCCGTGGCCCGTGCGACCCCACCATGACATTGTGGCTGCTGCGGAGCCCGTGGCTGCTGTGGTGTCTGTGGCTGCTGTGGTGTCCATGGCTGCTGTGGTGTCCGTGGCTGCTGTGGTGTCTGTGGCTGCTGTGGTGTCCGTGGCTGCTGTGGTGTCCGTGGCTGCTGTGGTGTCTGTGGCTGCTGTGGTGTCTGTGGCTGCTGTGGTGTCCGTGGGCTGCTGTGGTGTCCGTGGGCTGCTGTGGTGTCTGTGGCTGCTGTGGTGTCCGTGGGCTGCTGTGGTGTCCGTGGCTGCTGTGGTGTCCGTGGCTGCTGTGGTGTCTGTGGCTGCTGTGGTGTCCGTGGCTGCTGTGGTGTCCGTGGCTGCTGTGGTGTCCGTGGCTGCTGTGGTGTCTGTGGCTGCTGTGGTGTCTGTGGCTGCTGTGGTGTCCGTGGGCTGCTGTGGTGTCCGTGGGCTGCTGTGGTGTCCGTGGCTGCTGTGGTGTCTGTGGCTGCTGTGGTGTCTGTGGCTGCTGTGGTGTCCGTGTCCCGCTGTGGTGTCCGTGGCTGCTGTGGTGTCTGTGGCTGCTGTGGTGTCTGTGGCTGCTGTGGTGTCCGTGGGCTGCTGTGGTGTCCGTGGGCTGCTGCGGAGCCCGTGGCTGCTGTGGTGTCTGTGGCTGCTGTGGTGTCTGTGGCTGCTGTGGTGTCCGTGGCTGCTGTGGTGTCCGTGTCCCGCTGTGGTGTCCGTGTCCCGCTGTGGTGTCCGTGTCCCGCTGTGGTGTCCGTGGCCGCTGCGGTGTCTTTGTGCTGTCCGTGTCCCGCTGTGGCGTCCGTGGCCTGTGGCAGTGTCCCCGTGGCGCCATGGCCGCTGTGGTACCGTGTCGCCGTGTCCCACTGCAGTGTTGCACGGCGTCTTCACCTGCCCTGACCCCCCCCCCCCCCCCGCAGGCCCGCAGGTGCTGCTGATCGCCGTGTTCACGCTCACGGGCACGGTGGTGCTGCTGCTGCTCATCGCGCTGCTGGTGCTCAGGTGCGCCCCACTGGCCCCGTGCCCCCCCCGCCGAGGACATTGGGGTGCACACGCCCCCCTGGCCCCGTGCCCCCTCCCGGCCGAGGACATTGGGGTGCACACGCCCCCCCCCACCCTGTGCCCCCCCCCGCCGAGGACATTGGGGTGCACACGCCCCCCCACCCTGTGCCCCCCCCGCCGAGGACATTGGGGTGCACACGCCCCCCCCCCCCCAGGGTCCCATGGACACCACGTGCTGAGTGCCTCCCCCTTGGCAGGAAATACAAGAGGGACCACCAGCTCCGCCAGAAGAAGTGGTCGCACATCCCCTCCGCCTGCCTCCTGCCCCTGGAGACCAGCGAGGCCGGCCCCGTGAGCCTCAAGGTGAGGCCGGGCCTGGGGGGGGCCAGGGAGAGGGAGTGGGAGGGGGGACGGGGAGGGAGGATGGGCTGTGCACAGGGTTGGTCCTTCAGAGAGCAGAGAAGAGGACAGAGAGACACACAGAGACAGACAGAGGGACAGGCTCAGAGAGGGAGAAACAGAGACAGGGGCTCAGAGACAGAGAGAGACAGAGAGATGGGGACTGAGGCTCAGACAGACAGACAGAGACAGACAGACAGAGACAGAGACAGAGACAGAGACAGACAGAGACAGAGAGGGACAGTCTCAGAGAGACAGAGACCAGAGACAGATGCAGAGAGAGACATGGGTCCCTCCCGTAGGACTGTCTGTCCATCTGCCCACCCATCTGTCTGTCCATCCCTGCCTGGAAGGGGCTGAGGGTGGGGGGGAGCAGAGAAGGAGGGAGGGGGGCCGGGGGGAGGTATTGGGGGACACGGAGCGAGGGGTGGAATATTAGACACCCGGGAAGGAGGTGTGGGGGGGCAGGTAGTCCCCCCGAGTTCCTGGGCGCGCAGCGGCACAGCCCCCACGCGGGGCGGCCCTCGGCCAGATGGACGCACAGGGGACGTTCCACGCAGATCGACGAGGACAGGAGGGGCGACGCCACGCAGCGGCTGCAGCAGTGGAAGTACGACAAGAAGGTGAC